TTCAAACTGGCTTTAGGACAGGATTTGGCATTGAGACTGCCATCAGGGCATCAACAGGGGTAATGTGACCCTGTTGGTCCTCCTAGACTTCTCAGTGGCTTTTGACACAACATCCTCTTGGATCGCCTGAGAGGGTTAGGAATTGGAGGCACTGCTTTGCAGTGGTTCCGTTCCTTCCTCTCGGGCAGATCCCAGAGGGTGAAGCTCGGGGACAGTCACTCCACCAGGAAAGAGCTTAATTGTGGCATCCCACAAGGTGCCATCCTGTCCCTGATGCTATTCAGTATATGAAGCCGCTGGGAGAGATTATCCGGAGACATGAGGCTGGGTGTTATCAATACGCTGATGACACCCAGATATATTTCTGCATTTCTCGGTTGTTGGCTCCAGATGGTGTCTCTCCTCTCAGTGACTGTCTTAAGGCAGTAATGGACTGGATGAGGAAAAACAGATTGAAACTGAATCCAGAAAAAATGGAGGTACTCACAGTAGCGGCCCCGAAACCAGGTATTGGGATACATCCTCCAGGTCTGGCTGGGATCATACTCCCCGTGAAGGACTGTGTTCGCAGTCTGGGGTGCTCCTGGATCCATTGCTCCAGATGACTAATCAGGTAGTCATCTGATGACTAATCAGGTAAATGATCATTGGATCAGGAGCGCCTGTTATCAGCTTTGGCTGATATGCCAGCTTCGCCTTTTCCTGGAAGTAAGGGACCTTGAAACTGTGGTGCATGCGCTGGTCACCTCTTGTATTGATTTCTGTAATGCGCTCTACATGGAGCTACCCTTGTGCTTAGTCCAGAAACTTCAATTAGTTCAGAATATGGCAGCCAGATTGGTCTCGGGTGCATCAAGGAGAGACCATATAACACCTGTACTAAAGTTGCTTCACTGGCTGCCTGTTAGTTTCCGGGCCCAGTATAAGGTGTTGGTTATTACATTTAAAGCCCTAAATGGTTTGGGTCCAACTTATCTTTGGGACCGCCTCCTCCCATACAATCCACCCTGCGCACTTTGGTCCTCTGGGAGGAATTTGCTGCAGCTGATAAAAACGAGGCTGTCGGCAACCTCCCAGAGGGCCTTCTCAGCAACTGCTCCCAGACTATGGAATGGCCTGCCAGATGAAATATGTCAGATTACGACCTTAAGCAGCTTTAAAAAAGCTGTCAAAATGGATCTCTTCCGGCAGGCCTTTCCTGACTAGATTTCTGGCCTCAGGAGTTAGTCCATCTTCTCCTTTTCAACCTTTGCTTCAGTCGCTGCTATTGTTTGCTATTGTTTGTTATTGCCGCTTTGGCAAGTCTATTTTAAATATGTTTTAATGTATATTTTTAAATACTTTTTTAAGGGGTAGGTGGGTTTCGGGATTTTGGCTTGTTTATATTGTACTGTAATTTATTTGTATGGAATTTTAATGCTGCTAGCCACCCCGATTGCTTTGCAGAGGGGCAGGGATTAAATAAATAAATTATTATTATTATTAGAAATATGGATTTAAGTCTTGATTGTTTTTCCTAGTATAGTTCACCATTAGTTGGAACAAACATAGAAATAGAAATATCTTTTGGAGTTACTTTATAAACCATCCCTCTTTTATTATCCTCCTCCCCCATAACCTTTGCAGTATTGCTTTATAATCTCAGTCTGGATGGTGGCAGGAGGCCAGATACAGCAGCAAGATTTTACTTTGCCTCTAATGGAACTTCTGAGATGACTTCTGGAAGCATCAAGATTTACAATAGCAACAATGTTACTTGTACGACTCAACAAGCATTCATGAGGGTAATGCGCTTTCTATTTTAATTACAGTATTTTGAATGAAATAGTGGTAACAGCTAGGGCTTCATCTACACTGCAGAATTAATGCAGTTTGACACCACTTGGACTGCCATGGTTCAATACTATGGAATTCTGGGATTTGTAGTTTTGTGAGATATTTAGCCTTCTCTGTCAGAGAGGTCTAGTACCACAACAGACTGCAAATCCTGGGATGCCATAGCATTGAGCCCTGGCAATTAAAGTGGGGTCAAACTGCATTAATTTTACACTGTGGCAGGAGCCTAAGACAATGAGATGAAGAGAACCACTCCTATCATTGTGACTGGCAGAAATCATTAGGTGGAGCTTATAACAGAAGCCCAGAACAGACAGGCCAAATGAAATGGCTTCCAGCCACTTTGGAGCTGTGGCATTCAAATGACGCACACTTCCAAAGCATCCCGAAGCTGTGCCGAAGCTGCACTCCAGTCCTTTGGACCAGAGGAAAAAGGAGCCAGAATTTTCTGGCTCCTGGCAGCGTGGGCTGGGTCCTGCAGCTGTGGCCCACTTTGGGAGCGGGCCATATGTTCAGCACAGTCCCAACCACTTGCTCTTTCGTGCCCATCTGCTCTGGCCCACAGTGAATATTAGCTTTATTTCCAGCTGATACCTATTTTAAAAGCACAGGAAAACAGACATTTTGCCCATGTGAACTTGCCCAGTTATGAAGGTCCAGTTTGGACTGGTTTTCTGAACCTCCTGTTCTTCAGTTCAACTCTTGAACCATCCTTACTTTTCATGCAGTTTACTTTTTGTTATTTTGAAACAGTAGTGTTGTGTCTCCTCCTCCTTTTGTGACTTATGCTTATTTTGAACCAGTAAATTTAAATGTGTATAGCTGAGCTAATTCTTGCAACAGATGACTTGCATTTTCAGTATCTGAGAAAATTAATACTTAATTGGTTTAATGAAGGTAATGTGAAGCAGATGCAAGGAGAGACTTGTGGAAAATGAGAATGAATTGGACAACATATACAAATAAGCCTACAGATCAGAATTAAAACAGGGAACATGGAGGAAAGAGTCAGTAGCTGCCTTATCTCATACAGGGAACAATTTGATTCACGTTTGCTATTTTAATCTTTGATGATGTTTTGTTTTCACAAATAGCTTGTGAATAAATTGAACTTCTGTTTCAGGAAGTCCTACACAGTTTCGCCTGTCATAATAAAAGTCAGTTAGATGGTTTCCTCTAATACACCCTATCCATGATATCTTGAATTTACAATACAATCTTATCCAAGATAAGATCCATTGTCTGAAATTGCCAGTAGTTTTCTGTTTACATTCAGGTTGTAATTTGAGTGAGGTTTTTCTAATAAGATTGAGTTTTCTTTGCATATATCAGGAATGGGAAATATGTGGCCCTCCAGATTAGCATCCATCACTATTGGCTGTGCTGATTTAGGCTGGTGGAAGTTTATTTAAACAAAGTCCAGAGGGCACCCCATATTCCCCACTTCTGATGTACATTTTATTTTATTTTTTAAATGTAATTAACTCGTTAGGTTTCCAATTTTTATAGAAAGATGTAAGGGATATCCTGGCTCCCATACATGTCAAAGCCACCTATCGTCTTGGAGACCACATTTTGAAAGGTAAAAGTACAGATGAACTCCCATCACTCCAACCAGTTCTTCAACAACGAAAAGAAGATGATATTATAAACAGCAAGGTAAGACTATGAGCTACTTATGTTTTGGCAGCTATTAAATTTTGGACAGGTACATTATAATCCAAGCACATGTTTTTATGGATCAGATTAATGCCAACACTTTTTTTTTTGGTTCTGAATATGATGGAATATGCAAAGTTTGATATTTTTTTAAATAAAAAAATGAACTGAAACAAAATTCTCACTCATCCCTAATTAAGACATTTTTCTCCCCTCTGAGAGAAATCTCTCAAGAATTGAGCAGTTTTTGAGGACAATTTGCAATTTGGGATTTATTCTGCAAAAAAATCCACTTGTGGGGTTTTTGTGCAGAAAATATTTTCTGAACAGAAAAAACTGTTTTCCATCCATAAAAATCACATGCTTGCTACCTTTCTAACAAAAATCTTTCTAACAAAAAAATCAGGAGACTTGCTTTCTTGATAGAAAATAACATTTCTACACAGAAAATGCCTTTTTTTTCCTACATAAGAGCTCCACATAGATTTTTTTTGTGTGTGTGCAATATAAATCCCATATTGCAAGGATTCTCAGCTGTCCAGGATACTCCTTTTTGCCTTCTGGGATTCCAATACTTTTGCTATCCCTAGTAGCCCTAAACATTCAGATTTGGCCCTTATATCCTCTGAATTTGAAATAACTCTGGTGTCTCGCAATATGAATCTGGTTCCAAATGAGGCCACCATAATATACAGGAATATCATTTATACAATGTTTAGCTCCTTGTAGTGTGAAAAGTTTTTTGAGGCATTGGGTCACATAAAAGAGCCTTGGTATGGTGTTACTACCATTGGAAAGTACCAGACTTCAATGAAGATAGAAAAGTAGATGGAGTAATAATGTAGAATCAAGTACTTCCTAACAAAATACTGTCAATTCTGTGCTTCAAGGTAATAGACTTATTTCTTAATGTATAGATATGAACACATGAAATATTTTTTCTTTTCTTTTTTAAGTTTGTGTTTGCAAGATTTTGCTCTCAAGAAAATTGTTCTGCTAACCTGCAAGTTTCTGGAAAGTTTGCATTTCCGAAGTAAGTTGAATGTGATTTCTAGATGGCATAAAAGCATAAATAAGCTTTCTGTTTCAAACTTATCTTTAGAAAGCAGCTAATCATTTGTTGTTCTTGTTGATGTAGATATTGGCTAGAATCTTGTTAGAGAGGTATGTAAGCAGATTTATGTCTGTGAGAATTGGGCTATTCTACAAGGTCTGTAACCACTGAAGAATTGCTGTTACATTATTACATACAGGAGCCAGCAGAGTGACAGATGCACCTTGCAACTGATGTATATTGGTCCTGTTGTGCAGTGGGATATTGGCTATGGAGTGCCAATACATATTGGGACAATCTTGCTGGTGTCCCATTACGCATCTTCACAATACACCAACAGAGTTTATTAAAACCTCTGCTACATAGCTAAATATACATAAAGCTATGAAATATACACCATGATAGAGGATTCTGATCATCATCATCATCAGTAATAGTAGTAGTAGTGAGACTCAGCATGGTATAGTGGTTTGAATGTTGGACTGTGACCCTGAAAACTAGGGTTCGATTCCCTGCTCAGACATGGAAAACCACTGGGGTTGCACACACTCATCTGCAGGCAATCATGTGATAAATTTGCCTTAGGGTTGCCATACTTGGAAATGACTTGGAGGAACACAACTACTACTACAAAAATGATGCAGGAAGGCCCTACCATGGAATATGCAAATTTAAGATGACCAACTAACATTTGCAATTCTTATAGAATGACTTTCCATAGTTCTTACAATTTGCCATTCATGAAATGGCAACATTGTTAAAAAATATCACTTTGTATATCTAAGTGGGAAAGATAGGTGTAGGGGGTGCCCTGAACTTTCTAAAAGCAGAACATGAGGCCATCCACCCCCTGTTGCCTGATCCATGTAGAAGCCATGCTCCAGTGAGAAGCCCAGTGGTACAAGTGTTTGGTGTGAACTAGGAAAAAGCAAAAGGCTAATTTAATGTCCCCTTTCACCCTTTCTGTCCCTATGCCATAGGTCTGATAATATGAACAGCTCTGTCTAAAAAGGTATAACAGACCTAGCAGTGTAGGAGATGGTATCATTTACCAGACTCCCCTTGGTTTGTAAAATAAATAATGAGTAGGACTGTGTTCACCAGGAGTCTTCTTTGGGCCAGTGGAGAAACTCTCAGGGCCTGTACAGACTGGCCACAAGGGGAATGGAGCTGGGGGTGACCGCATGCCAGCCACCCTGACACCGCCGTCACGCTGTATGCACCACTGCATAGCGCATTTCATCAGGGAGATCCCTTGGTGCAACGTGTAGACATGCTGAGCCAAAGGGGCACAGAAGAAGCATGGCAACAGCAGTAAGGCTGGCTTTTTGCTGCTCCAAAAAGAAGCAGCATTTGCCAACTCTTTTTGGAGCTTCAAAAAGCCTGATTGGGGCTGTGGTTGCTGCTGCCCTGATCTGGCGCTCCCAGGGGCGGCACAGAGCTGCCACTTCGGGGCCATCTGTACGGCCCCTGAGACGGAACCAGGATAACAAGAAAGGGATGTACCACTCTTCACTCATGCACCTCCTTGTCAGTCTGCTGACTATGGATTCTAGTTGCTTAACAGGAGTTGAATGAGCTGGCCACTGTGGAGTGGCTTGCAAAAATAAGCCTTTGTTGTTGGCATGCTGCCTGTGTTATTGAGGAGCACCCAAAGTTGCCATTTTGGGGTTCAACTAGGATTGAGTGAGTTTTCCACTATGGAGTGGCTTGGCAGACTAGGTCTCAATTGGAACAGTTTGCTGCCTCTTTTGTTTGAGGAATGCACTAGGCCTCCTCCTAATGTTTTAGTCATTCACCTTTCTGCTTAAGAAAATTAGATAGCACTGATTGTGAACTATTGCAATCCTATGCTTGATCTACCCATATGGTTCCTCACTTTGTATGAGCCAAATAGCTTATTTTTATATTTGTCTACATACACACATCAACACATGCCAAATGAATAATAATAATAAACTATGATTACAGGTGAAAAACTCTAGTTCAGCTTTCTCCCATTCCCAGCTGTTCTACTGGTGATTGATTATATGCTTTCACATGCTCCATATTGGACAGCTCTCCCCCACTCTCCCCTCCCCATTCATTGCATCCTGTTAACAAAGCAAAATGCAATAACACTGAAAGGAAAAGGCACCAATTATTTAAATATAAAGAAAAAATTTGAGAGCAAAGTGTAAACCTGCAATCTAGCCACTGAAATGTTAACATTTGCATTTATCTCTTTAATATGAAACTTAGCTGCTTATGTAGTGCTTTTACCTTCTGTTGCCTGTCTAAGTGCCAACTTTTCTCCCCAAGGTGTTCTGTGACTAATGTGTTGGTCTCCAGCCAGAATATTTGATAAATGTCTATTTCAAGGCAGCTCTTCTGCAAGTCTTAATTAAACTTTAATGTCAAATTGAAGTTTACTTAAAAATCCTCTTAGGTACCTTTTGCTTGTTAATGTGATTAGGGAACACTAGGTAGAACATAAGATAGACATGTTCACTCATGTGCACAAGTCCTGCTGTATATTAACCTTGACGGAAAGGTGAAAGGCAAGAGCCTTTGCACAGCATAAGGTGATTATAAAAGCAGCATTAAACACTTGGCAGTATGCTTTAAAATAGTAGAAATGGAACTCACAGACAAAGAAGGCATTCATTGCGACTGCCGTGTGGCCAAGCAATATGACTTAAACATAAAAAGTACAACAGGGAAATTTGAAGAGGCAGAGAAGGATTAAAATAGTGACTATTTGTTCTGGCCAAGATAGCTGACCGTTAGTAGCACGATTTATGTGCTGTTTCCAGCTTTGCAGGATTTATTATATTTAAGTGCATAAAGATACAGAAATATTCCACAAGGGCAGAAATTCAGTCTCCAAGACAGTTCCCCAGCTCAGGAACTGTCACACACCTTGAAATTACAACATTCACCACTGCAAAGTTGAAAAATCACAAGGATTCATTAAGGTTGGACAGACAGAAGCTTCTCCAAACAAAGATTTACAGTATTATCAAAAGACCTTTGACAGTCCATGCTGAACAGGGATGGAGACAACCCTCCCCACCCCTCCCTCCTGGATCAGACAATAAGAGATGATGCCAAATTTGCATCACTCACCCGCTCAGTCCTGCAATACAAAAAGCCACAGACAAACTCAGGGTGACAACAAACCACTGTCTACTCTGTTCTTTGAAGCGTTGTTCAAAGAAGAAAAACAGAGGAGTGGATGGAGCTTATGAACCCATAGCTCTGCCCCCCAAATACCTCATGTCATAGTTTATTGCGCCTGATGTCATTAACACTGGCTTTTCTTCCATTGAAGGCCAGCAAAAATGGGTCCCCTTCAGCAGCTTCTCATGGGTCCAGATCCATATTAGCAGGGCAATAATGATGGAAATAACTACGTTTCCATCAGATGCCAACATGAAAACATTATTTTTGTGGGTTAAGACTTCCAGAATCTCCAAGGCAGCATGGGCTGAATAAGACTGCAGTTTAAATATTTTTTTCATAAAAAAGAGATTAAAAATGTAAATGCCATTCCTGGAATGAACGTATCTTTAACATGCAAGCAGTGTGTACTTACTGAAGTAAGAGACTAAGGGTCTGAACATACTGCCATAAATAATCCATCTTGAGACTATTTTAACTGTCCTGGCTCAATGCTAGGGAATCATGGGAATTGTAGGGTTGTTTTTTTTTTTTTTTTGAGACATTGAGCCTTCTTTGTCAGAGAGCTCTGGTGCCACAATAAACTACAGTTCCCATGATTCCCTGGCACTGAGCCAAGGCAGTTAAAGTGGCCTCAAGCCGGATTATTTCTGGCAGTCTGTTCAGGCCCTTATTTCACAAGGGACTTTTTAATTGTCTTTGCGTAGAGGGTGCACTTAGGACCTATTTCGATGGAACTTCAGCTTAGATGAAACCCTGATCGTTTCTTTTATTTCTGAATAAATTATGTTTTGCTTTGTTTATTTAGATACAACAAACCTAAATTGAAATCTGTATTCATTTCATATAGGCCCCATGAGAAGAAATCCTACCTTGCAGTTGGAAATATGAAAACATTAATGTTAAATGTCACCCTATACAATTCTGGTGATGATGCCTATCAAACTGCACTCTATATCCAGCTCCCTAAAGGGCTTTATTTCACCAAAATTCTAGACCAGGTAAGAAGTGAATTTATTTTTTTCTAAAAACAGATTATTCATACACTTCTTACTTCCCCAAGCACATAAATAAATGAGCAGATATAGCATTACAAATGTTGTAATATTTCACCACTCTTTCCCCTACAACAATCCCCAAACTAATAAATAAATAAACAAATAAATAAAGTTTTTTTAAATGTACTTTTGTAAAACACCCACTGTTTATTGTTTCTTTATATTGCTTGCCTTTATCCCAGGAAGAAACACAGATACATTGTGAAGTGTCAGAAAAGGAAAGCCATGGAGTGAGATTGGACTGCAGTGTAGGATATTTATATGTAGATCATCTATCTAAGGTAAACTTAATGGCAAAACCATTCCTTTTTCTTAAACAAATCACTCCCTTTCCTGCTAGCAGCATCATTTACATCAAGGAATACACAGATAGTGTATGATGGAGAGGCCCAAACGTGTTTATTTTGTGCAAGAGTATATATCCTTACCTTTCCTCCTTGAAACCTGGGATTGTGTTGGTTCACCCTCATTTGTTTTGGCCCATGTTTTGTAACATCTCCGTGACAGTAGAGCTTTGCAGAGAAACAAAATGAAGAGCAGGTTTTGATATCTGAAAGAAGCATTTGTTGCTGCAGTGGATACCCAGCATATGGGGTGCTCCTAGCTTATATAGTATTGTGCAGGGGGGGAATTACTTTTGTTTTTGTTACACAATCAAATGAGTATTTTGAATGGATGTAGCTACAAAGAGGCAACCAGATTGAAAGTACATACAACCAGATATCCAAATCATACTTATTCTGAAGTGATTTCTATCAATAGTGTCCTGCACCCAGGATATGTATCAAAAATTAGGCTGATTATTATGTGAGTTACAAAGTCAATATATTGATTTGAACATCAATAATATAATTTCTATTGATGTTACTGGTATAATCTATGAATATGTTTTCTAATAAAGATGCATTAATTTAACCTTAACATATTTCATTTACTCCACAGATGGATTTTACTTTTGTGTTGGATGCAAGTTCTCTTAGCAGGGCAGGAGATGACCTCAGCATCAGTATTAATGCAACTTGGTAAAACTATTGCATAATTTGTTAAAGCTAGAGTCTTGGATTAATATTGTCTTGCATTTGAAAGACATAATAGGGAATTGTGCAAGTGGTTCCTGGATGTAGGAAAGTGTATGTTATTTAGTCTGCAGATGTCCCACAGAAAGCAAACAGAATGGTTAGGTTTAGTTTGGAAAAATTGACTATAGCTATAGCCAAAATGTGCTGAACTCTTCTAGCAGATGAACTGAAAGTGAGACTAAACCTGCTTATCTCTGGCTAGACCACATTATCCCCTAGAGG